GCGCCGCTGAGGGCGGACGGGCGTTGGCGGCCCGAAGCCGTTGCCCTGGGGGGAAACGCCGCTCGCCCTGAGGCACGGTCTTTTCACTCGTGAAACTCGGTGGCTTACCCAACCGTATTGCTGAGAACTCCAGCTCCCTGGTTCTGTTATTCATGCTAAGTTGTGATGTTATACAGGAGAAGGAAATGTGGCTTTCGATCAAAAGTGAAGAAAGGTCTCAGCAATTTGCCTTTAAAAATAGCGAACTCTGATCATATGGTACCAGTTTTGACCAGGTTATAATGATAACCCATTCAGAGTGGGTTTTTTTTTACTGTGGACCTCTAAAGGCATCAAGTTGTCAGCTGTTCCATTTCAGCGTTCATGCAGACATGCCCCAGCACATCTAAATACTAAGTCAAATATTTGTTTACATCCCTCCCACACAAGGAAAAAATAGCACATGCTGATTAAAAAAAAAAAAAACAAACAACCCTGCACTGACCACCCTCATTGAGGTCTTCAATCCGTGAAGAGATGAGGAGGGCAAGGGCAAAGCTACACCTGTCTTCCCCAACCCCACAGATGCATGGTTTCCGATCATGACATTTGTGGCAGAAAGTGTCATGATAAAAATCTACAACACATATCTGAGTTAATTCTGTTCCACTTCCCGAGGAACATGGAAGAAACACCTATCCATTTTTTCCTCAGAAAAAACACCACTGGCTATGTTACTAGTAGCAAAAAAAATATATTTTTTAAATAGCTATATTACATTTCCTCCTGTAAGCTGGTACTTAAGGCACATATTCTTAAGGTCACCTTTCTTCTCTTTTCCTTTCTTCAGGGACCAGCTAACTTCTAGTCAGCCTATCCAGGTACTTTGCTTTGGCCTGTTCACCATGTGATGGCCTTGCTGAGATGTGCAAACTCTGGAGGCAAGGGTGGCTCCTAACAGCTGTTTCTATAAGGAGGATAAGCCAGTTTATGGCTCTTAAGGCAGGCTGCAAGAAGGGTTAGGAGATAAATAGAAGAGTAAAATTTCTTTGCATTGCCTTAGGGCCGAATTCATCTCTGTGCTGTTGTGGAGACCACAGTGACAATGGCAAAAAGGCAATCTGCATCAGCCCTCCCCCATCAAAAGCTCTTCAGGAACCTTTTCCTCTTGATTGCCCGAGTGGAATTCCTATTAGTGTAAATGAAAAGTAAATAGGTGCATGGAGAATGGATATCTGCCTTGACTTGAAAAAGTGGGGTTTCAATTTGTGTTTCTGAAAAAGCTAAACTTCTGAAACCCATGTTTGAAATCTTTTGTTTTACAGAATTTTTATGAAAATAGGGCAGGATCAAACCCAGAAGTATCAACATAAATATGAAAGGATATGGCTTAGAGCTGATATTTCACTTGCATTAAGATTTCCGTATTATAATTGCCCATGAATCTTGATTTTTAATCATCCATATAATTCCGTAAAAAGTGAGTCTGCTGATGTGTGTTAGGAGCAAAATATGAAAGCTTAATTAAGCAGCAGGGATTCCTTTCTGCTTTCCCTACCCCATTACTTGGAATTTAAGAAGTCACAAACACTTGTAAAGCAAAATCCATAATGTTGGCAGCTTCTCTGTATGCTTGGAATTTTACTGATTTATGTAAAATAACCCAGGACAAATATTTTAATGGTTGAGGTTTAGTTGCAGATCCTATATAAAAAATTGCAGTTATGTATTTCTGTAAGAAACTTCCTTACAAAATGTTTCTGGCTTTATGAAAGTTTCTTGAAAACACCATGTCCAATAATCATGTTTTGATTCTTGTCCAAGATACTAATCCAGTAAGTTAAGGTGGAGTTTATACTTCAGAGAATACACAAGAGTGAAAAGGCAATAGCTACTGTTCCATTGTTTTTATTGAAAATTACGTTTAGAAGGTCAAATATCCCCTTACAGACAGTAGGTAAACATACTTTGTGAAAGTCCCTTAAAGGCTGTGCTTGAGTGCAAAATCCCCTTCAGTCTGTAACATACTCCAATAATAAAACTCAGCACAGAAATGAAAATCAGCATAGAAATTAAAACTCGAAAAATTGCAATGACCTTTATGTATACTGGTTAAGTTCATCTAAACATGGACTTAAGCATCTGCTTATACACATTGTGAATGGGTTCCCTTCTGTTGTATTGTGCAGCATGCTCTGTTTGCCAAATACTGTTTCCATGTGCATTCTTGGTGAGTAAGCATGAAGAATAAACAGATGTAGAGCAAGAACAGAATATGTCCCTCACAAATCTAACATTAACGAGTATATAATGCTACAAGATCCTCCTCCCATAGGAGGATTTCCTCCCAGTATCAGTGCAAGAGACACCTACTCCTCTGTAGTTAAATCAGAACTGAAAAATTTTTAATGAATATTTTTGACAGAGAAGGAAATTTTTCAAGAAAACATTTTCCATGTTTTGATAAATAAATTACATAATAAATGGTTGCAAATAATTGATGGTGTTCCCTTAGATAGGTGAAAGCAAACCTTTACTATCCTTTTATCCCCATTTTTTTTTGTCTGCTATAGTCACTGAATAATACAGAACTGTCATGATTTTGCAGACCTTTATGATGTTTTCATGTAAGGCATTTAAGCCTATGGCATAAAAGAATGCTCTTTGGCGATGATGGGCTTCTCCTTAATAGACAGTAGAGCAACGTCAGTGCTGGTCTGGGTCCACGTATTAGCCTCTACAGCACCTGTGCTGTCTGCATCCTTTAGGGTGGGTGTGAGTTCTGAACTGAGACTTCTTTCTAAGGAGCTTGTGGCACTGTAAGTCCTTCCTTCTTCCTTTTTTTATTCTATATCCATGCCTCCTGCTCTACTTCCTTTCAGCCCTGCTCTTTCTCCCTGCTCCATAGCACTCTGCACCTGCTGCTCTATTTTTCTCACTCCACTGTGCAGGTCCCTGCCAGCCTGCTGACACTGCCATATCATCCTGTCATTTTCATTTGTTGCGTGGAGACATATACGGAAGAGCAGTGGGGTGAGGAGGAGGAACAGCACTGTGCTGGGACACACTGGATATGGGGGTGCACCCTCCAGCTTGGCGATGGGCAGAGGAAGAAATGAGCAACTAAAGGAGTGGGTCAACACTGTTACACAAATAAACTAAGTATCAAGGTGTGTCATAGGGTATATGCCATGCAAAGAGGGCAATGAAAGGGCGTGTGAATAGAGGTCAGCTGAAGGTATTTGAAAACTCCACTGCACCTGCACTGGAGAGGAGCCCACATCCGCACTCTGCGCAGCGGCGGAGCTGCCCGGGCAGACCCTTCGCAGCATGCTCCACAGCCCCAGGCCCCCAACGTGCTGTGTCTCGCTGTGCACAAAATGAGCCCCCCAAGGGCTGTTCTCTGTGGTGCTTGTTAGCCGTACCCGTCAAGCCTGATGTGACTGAACATTAATCAACACTCCTTTTCTCACTTAACATAAAATTTGCCTCCTGTTGTTGCCCTTCTTTTTATGATGTAGATACTATCAGACAGCTCCAGCTATTGCAACTGTGTGCTGGGTAGCAAGCTGCAAGGGGGCCAGGCATGGCTTCCTGGGTTTCTTGACATGGCAGTGGTTTGTCAGCAGGGATGCAGAGTAGCACAGGACAAAGAAGGCTGTGCAGCCAGTTGGGAAGCCCACCATGTCCTGTCAGCTTGTGAGCAGCAGAAGCACCACGCAGTACTGAAAACTGTAGTTGAAAGAAGTTTTTTTTAAAACTGACTTTGGTTAAGTCAGCAGGTTTGGGAGGTTGTAAGACAAGCAACCTTTTTCAGTACCCACAATCTGGTCAGTTTGAGGTCTCCCACTGCTCTCTAAATGAAATGAAGGAGTGGATGGTACGTTCCTCACTTTGCCAGTCAGTCTTCTAGAAACCCCACTTGCCCCAGCCTGCCACCTGCACGACCCGTTTTGGTGACACTCTTGGGAAAAGCGATGAATTAAATTCCTACCAAGACCAAGTCTATACACCAGAGCATCCCTATCCTTTTTGAATTCAAGGCCATTAAACGCGCTTTGGTTTCCAGGGTTCCTCAAAGGGAGACTCCAGCCAGGATCACGACAGGCATTGATTTTGCTGGACCTCGGCAAGGTCTCCATCTCTGCCCGGGCTCTGACACCCACCGACGCCGGTCTGTCCCGGCTCGGGCCCCGGCGGTTCACTCCCTTCTGCTCCATCCCGGCGCTCGGCCGTTGCCCGCTGCGACCCGCGACG